GGGGGTTTGTAGGCAGCAGGGGACGACGACAGGCAAGCAGGCAGCAGTGATCTGGGTCGCTGCACACTTGTACAAAGCAAGCCATGGCTCCTCTGCTCTACATTTAGCCCGGCTCGCCTGCATGTCCCGAGCCTCGGGCGATAGGAATCTCGCACACCTGATTGTTATGCCATAGTATCAAATATTTTAACTAGGGATGCACCGATACCGATACTAGTATCGGTGCTGATACCGAGTATGTGGGTGAGTACTCGTACTCACCCAAATGCTCTGATACCTAGCACGAGTACTTCCTGTATCAGGTAGCCAGGCAGTGCATCATTACACGCTGCCCGGTTTTTTGATTGGCCAGGAAACGGCTCCATGCTCTCTCATCACTTGTGATGAGAGAGCATGGAGCCGACTTCCCGGCCAATCAGGAAGCCGGGTAGCATGCAATGACGCGCTGCCCAGCTTCCCGATTGGCCGGGAAGCCGGCATCATGCTCCCTCGTCATCTCATGAATCATAATATTAAGAAAGTGACCTTAAAGCATTAGTTTGTATTGCTTTAGAAAAAATGTGACCTGTTCCTTTAAGAAAAAGTGTCGGTAATTGGTATCTGCGAGTACTTGATCAAAAGTATCGGTACTCATATTCGGTCTTAAAAAAGTGGTATCGGTGCATCCCTAATTTTAACCCTTTCGTGACCAGAGTATTTTGTAGTCTAGATGTTTAGCAACATTAGTAAGCATCAGTTAACTTGACAATTTTTTCAGTTTGACATACAACCTGAAATTGGGAACACACACGTTCCTAGTTCTCTGCTGGAAGGTTAGTTAACATTCTCATGGCAAGGGGTATGTTCCATGTGGACTTAAATAGGCATAGTTCAAACTATATTAAGAGTGCTTTTGGCAACACCAAGCTCTATTTCCTGTCAGCTCCATGTCAGCACACTCGTGGAGTTAATCCCTCTCCCCTCCTACTAATCAGGACCATGGCTCATAAAGTAGTGAGATACCCCGAGCCCACCGGTCCTCATTTTTCCTCCTCAGGTGCCACCGTGCAGTAACGGTGGAGCTTGTTGGTGTGGGCTGCTACTGGTGAAGCACATGCTATGCATTCCATGTATGTTACGTCCAGCTTGTGTCAGGCTGGCATGTTCAGCTGCGTGGAGGCCGTCGGTGGCGCACACTATGGGTGTCACTTCCGACCGGTGTGTACAGAGGGCTCGATTGCTGTGCGGCGGCGGCCAATGGGAGCACAAGCAGGGTGTGGCCAACAACAAGCTGCTCCTTTTTAAATGCCTGCTGTCAGTCTGAGAGCCGGCCATCTGACAGGGTGGCGTTCTGCGGGCGCAACCCTCTGGAGTCTAGTGTGGACTTCTGGTCTCTGCTATTCAGGTGCAGCCTTCTTAACCCCTTCATGACTGAGCTTGTTTTTAGTTTCTGTTTGTAAATGACTGACACACTTTTGACATTTTTGCTGTGTGATTCTTCCACGTCGGTAATATACTTCCTTACTAAGTGCACCCACAGATATTATATATTGTTTATTAGAGGACAGATAGGGCTACGTATTTATATCACATATGTGTGTCTAACGCCTCATTTAGGACAAATAAAATATAAAAAAAAGAGGAAAAAACTTTAAAAAACACTTTTTTCCCCAGTTTTGATTTGTAGTATTTTTTTACAAAACCAGCACAGCTAAAAAAAAAATGCAATAAATACATTCATTTATTTGTCCCTTATTTTTTTACACTTTATTTTTATTTTTTTTTACACTTTTCACTATTTTTTTAGACTTAAA